AAAAAAGGCTGTCAATGCCCGGCCATTAGCGTCGCATCGGAGCGCCTGGTGTTTAGTGCGGCAGGAGGTATTGTAACTCCGCGGGAGGACACGAACTGTCCACCCACAAGTGTGGAGAGACCTCACGTTTGTGATAATGAATCAGGCGTGGATTAGTCTGGATTTCAATCCACTCAGTTCCTGGACAAAACTGACTAAAATCCGCCTGAATGAATCATGCCCCAAACATCGTGCCACTTTCAGGTCTCCCACACTGCTGGTGTGTTCCATTTTTTGTTCAGTAGGGATTCGCTGGCAGATTACGGGCCTCCTATTAGCTGCTGCAGGCCCCTTATCTGCCATGGGGCCCCTGGAAACCCGCCTCCTCATGCTGCTTGCGCAGGTCAGAGTCGCTCAATGGGTCACTTTTAAGCCTCCCACGTGCTGCTGGCGTCTCATCGCCACCACCTCTGCCATGTGCCACGTTCAGGTCTCCTCACAGACTGCTGGTGTGTGCCATTTTGTGGACATAGAGGTGCTGGCAGATTTCGGGCCCTCCCCATACCTGCTTGCCAGGCCCCTAATCTGGCCATAGGCCCCTATGTAACGGCCTCCTCATGCTGCTGGCCAGTCCTCATCTCTCATGTCCCTGTACGGCCTCCCAAGTTGCTGCTCGTCGTCCATCCCACACTCTGCCATGTGCCACTTTCAGGGTCTCCGTAACACAAATGCTGGTGGGTTTTGAATTTTTGACTTAGGGAGCTGTCAAATTACGGGCCTCCTTAGTAGCTGGCTGCCAGGCCCCTAATCGGCCATGGCCCCCTATATTACCCGCCTCATCATGCTGATTAGCCAGGTCCAGAGTCTATCATGGGTCCCTGTAACGGCCTCCCATTTTTTTTTTTTTTGTTGCTGTCTCCATCGCCACACCTCCTGCCAGTGTGACCCACTTTTCAGGACTCTCTCACATTGCTGGTGTGTTCCAATTGTTTGACATAGGGTGCAGGCAGATTACGGGCCCTCCCATAGGACTTGCTGCCATACCCCCTAATCTTTTTTTTTGCCATGGGCCCCCTATACCGCCTCCTCAATTGCCTGCTGCTGCCAGGTCCAGAGTCTGTCATGGGTGTCCCTGTACGGCCTCTCATTGCTGCTTCTCCATCGCCACACTCTGCCATGTGCCACTTTCTGGTCTCCTCACCACTGCTGTGTGTTACATTTTTTGACATAGGGTGCTGGCAGATTACGGGCCTCCTATAGCTGCTGCCAGGCCCCTAATCTGCCATGGGCCCCTATACCGCCTCCTCATGCTGCTGGCCAGGTCCAGAGTCTCTCATGGTTCCCCTCTACGGCCACTCTCCATTGCTGCTGTCTCACATCGCCACACACTCTGCCATGTGCCACTTTCAGGTCTCCTCACACTGCTGGTGTGTTTCCAATTTTTTGTCATAGGGTGCGGCAGATTACGGGCCTCCCATAGCTGCTGCCAGGCCCCTAATCTGCCATGGGCCCTATACATACCGCCTCCTCATGCTGCTGCCAGGTCCAGAGTCTCTCATGGGTCCCTGTACGGACCTCCCATTGCTGCTGTCTCCATCGCCACACTCTGCCATGTGCCACTTTCAGGTCTCCTCACACTGCTGGTGTGTTCCATTTTTTGTCATAGGGTGCTGGCAGATTACGGGCCTCCCATAGCTGCTGCCAGGCCCCTAATCTGCCATGGGCCCCTATATAACCGCCTCCTCATGCTGCTGCCAGGTCCAGAGTGTCTCTCATGGGTCCTGTATACGGCCTCCCATTGCTGCTGTCTCCATCGCCACACTCTGCCATGTGCCACTCTTTCAGGTCTCCTCACACACTGCTGGTGTGTTTCCATTTTTTGTCATAGGGTGCTGGCAGATTACGGGCCTCCATAGCTGCTGCCAGGCCCCTAATCTGCCATGGGCCCCTATACCGCCTCCTCATGCTGCTTGCTGGTGTGTTACATTTTTTGTCATAGGGTGCTGGCAGATTACGGGCCTCCCATAGCTGCTGCCGGGCCCCTAATCTGCCATGGGCCCCTATGCCGCCTCCTCATGCTGCTGCCAGGTCCAGAGTCTCTCATGGGTCCCTGTACGGCCTCCTATTGCTGCTGTCTCCATCGCCACACTCTGCCATGTGCCACTTTCAGGTCTCCTCACACTGCTGGTGTGTTACATTTTTTGTCATAGGGTGCTGGCAGATTACGGGCCTCCTATAGCTGCTGCCAGGCCCCTAATCTGCCATGGGCCCCTGTACCGCCTCCTCATGCTGCTGCCAGGTCCAGAGTCTCTCATGGGTCCCTGTACGGCCTCCCATTGCTGCTGTCTCATCGCCACACTCTGCCATGTGCCACTTTCAGGTCTCCTCACACTGCTGGTGTGTTCCATTTTTTGTCATAGGGTGCTGGCAGATTACGGGCCTCCCATAGCTGCTGCCAGGCCCCTAATCTGCCATGGGCCCCTATACCGCCTCCTCATGCTGCTGCCAGGTCCAGAGTCTCTCATGGGTCCCTGTACGGCCTCCCATTGCTGCTGTCTCCATCGCCACACTCTGCCATGTGCCACTTTCAGGTCTCGTCACACTGCTGGTGTGTTCCATTTTTTGTCATAGGGTGCTGGCAGATTACGGGCCTCCCATAGCTGCTGCCAGCCCCTAATCTGCCATGGGCCCCTATACCGCCTCCTCATGCTGCTGCCAGGTCCAGAGTCTCTCATGGGTCCCTGTACGGCCTCCCATTGCTGCTGTCTCCATCGCCACACTCTGCCATGTGCCACTTTCAGGTCTCCTCACACTGCTGGTGTGTTCCATTTTTTGTCATAGGGTGCTGGCAGATTTCGGGCCTCCCATAGCTGCTGCCAGGCCCCTAATCTGCCATGGGCCCCTGTACCGCCTCCTCATGCTGCTGCCAGGTCCACAGTGTCTCATGCCATGTGCCACTTTCAGGTCTCCTCACAGTGCTGGTGTGTTCCATTTTTTGTCATACGGTGCTGGCAGATTACGGGCCTCCCATAGCTGCTGCCAGGCCCCTAATCTGCCATGGGCCCCTATACCGCCTCCTCATGCTGCTGCCAGGTCCAGAGTCTCTCAAGGGTCCCTGTACGGCCTCCCATTGCTGCTGTCTCCATCGCCACACTCTGCCATGTGCCACTTTCAGATCTCCTCACACTGCTGGTGTGTTACATTTTTTGTCATAGGGTGCTGGCAGATTACGGGCCTCCCATTGCTGCTGCCAGGCCCGTAATCTGCCATGGGCCCCCGTACCGACTCCTCATGCTGTGACGTTGCAACAAGGTGGAATTCAACCCTTCATATGTTAGACCGCCTTTACGAACAGCGAAAGGCCATCACAGATTTCCTGATGTTACAAGCGGATAAAGGTACTCCCTGTGTAACTTAGATGTCAGCCATTGGCAGCTCATGCGTGACACCTGCGCTTGCTCAGGCCCTTTGAGGAGGCCACGCTATTCGTGAGTCGGCAGGACTATGGGATGAACGACGTCATTCCTCTGTTGCACGTCCTGGAACAAATGCTGTTAACAATGGCTGGTCAGGGTGCGGTAGACGTGGCGCACAGATCTCAACGCCACATGACCCCTGTGGGGGCAGGACAGGAAGAAGAGGAGGAGGTAGAGGAGGACATTGGTGCTCAGGAATTATTGAGTGAAATGGGTGGTTTTTCCACTCAGCGGACAGGAGTGGAGGAGCAGGAGCATCTGGTAGAGGAGGAGGAGGAGGAGACAGAGGACCCAGACGCACCGTGGCAGTATGCTGTGGAGATGGAGGCAGGGAGTCCCTCTCATTCCTTGGCACAAATGGCCCATAGCATGCTCGCTTGCTTGCGTAGCGACAGCCGAATAATAACCATCAGACAGAGGGATGACTTTTGGCTGTCCACCTTGTTGGACCCTCGCTAACGTTCAAAAATGGTGGCCTTTTTCACACCTGCTGAGAGGGAGGCTAAAATAACGTACTATAAAAACCACCTATGTAGTCAGCTGGTCTCTGCCTTTCTGCGCCAACGTCCATCCTCAGACACTGTGGGCCCTGTGCGCTCGCGTTCCGCTGCCATGGCAGCAGGGGAGGGGTGGGGTGGTAGGAGCAGTGGCAGCTCCACCAGCAGCGGCTGCCTCAGTCTGCAGTCGATGATGAGTAGCTTTCTTCACCAGCGCAGTGAGGAAACTACTAACCAGCCGCAGCAGCAGCAGCAGCATCAGGTGGACCTGGAGCAGGACCTCAAACAACAGGCTTGGGCCTTCTTGGACAGCACCCTGCCAACCGAGGTAGACAATCCCCTTGACTACTGGGCAACGAAACTTGACCTTTGGCCCCACTAGCTTAATTTGCCCTTGAAAGGCTGTCATGCCCGGCCAGTAGCGTGGCATCGGAGCGCGTGTTTAGTGCGGCAGGAGGTATTGTAACTCCGCGGAGGACACGACTGTCCACCCAAAGTGTGGAGAGACTCACGTTTGTGAAAATGAATCAGGCGTGGATTAGTCTGGATTTCAAACCACCAGTTCCTGACACAACTGACTAAATCCGCCATGAATCATGCCCCAAACATGTGCCACTTTCAGGTCTCCTCCTCACACTGCTGGTGTGTTCCATTTTTTGTCATAGGGTGCTGGCAGATTACGGGCCTCCCATTGCTGCTGCCAGGCCCCTAATCTGCCATGGGCCCCTATACCGCCTCCTCATGCTGCTGCCAGGTCCAGAGTCTCTCATGGGTCCCTGTACGGCCTCCCATTGCTGCTGTCTCCATCGCCACACTCTGCCATGTGCCACATTCAGGTCTCCTCACACTGCTGGTGTGTTCCATTTTTTGTCATAGGGTGCTGGCAGATTACGGGCCTCCCAAAGCTGCTGCCAGGCCCCTAATCTGCCATGGGCCCCTATACCGCCTCCTCATGCTGCTGCCAGGTCCAGAGTCTCTCATGGGTCCCTGTACGGCCTCCCATTGCTGCTGTGTCTTCATCGCAACACTCTGCCATGTGCCACTTTCAGGTCTCCTCACACTGCTGGTGTGTTCCATTTTTTGTCATAGGGTGCTGGCAGATTACAGGCCTCCCATAGCTGCTGCCAGGCCCCTAATCTGCCATGGGCCCCTATACCGCCTCCTCATGCTGCTGCCAGGTCCAGAGTCTCTCATGGGTCCCTGTACGGCCTCCCATTGCTGCTGTCTCCATCGCCACACTCTGCCATGTGCCACTTTCAGGTCTCCTCACACTGCTGGTGTGTTACATTTTTTGTCATAGGGGTGCTGGCAGATTACGGGCCTCCTATAGCTGCTGCCAGGCCCCTAATCTGCCATGGGCCCCTATACCGCCTCCTCATGCTGCTGCCAGGTCCAGAGTCTCTCATGGGTCCCTGTACGGCCTCCCATTGCTGCTGTCTCCATCGCCACACTCGCCATGTGCCACTTTCAGGTCTCCTCACACTGCTGGTGTGTTCCATTTTTTGTCATAGGGTGCTGGCAGATTACGGGCCTCCCATAGCTGCTGCCAGGCCCCTAATCTGCCATGGGCCCCTATACCGCCTCCTCATGCTGCTGCCAGGTCCAGAGTCTCTCATGGGTCCCTGTACGGCCTCCCATTGCTGCTGTCTCCATCGCCACACTCTGCCATGTGCCACTTTCAGGTCTCCTCACACTGCTGGTGTGTTAAATTTTTTGTCATAGGGTGCTGGCAGATTACGGGCCTGCTATAGCTGCTGCGAGGCCCCTAATCTTCCATGGGCCCCTATTCCGCCTCCTCATGCTGCTGCCAAGTCCAGAGTCTCTCATGGGTCTCTGTACGGCCTCCCATTGCTGCTGTCTCCATCGCCACACTCTGCCATGTGCCACTTTCAGGTCTCCTCACACTGCTGGTGTGTTCCATTTTTTGTCATAGGGTGCTGGCAGATTACGGGCCTCCCATAGCTGCTGCCAGGCCCCTAATCTGCCATGGGCCCCTGTACCGCCTCCTCATGCTGCTGCCAGGTCCACAGTGTCTCATGCCATGTTCCACTTTCAGGTCTCCTCACAGTGCTGGTGTGTTCCATTTTTTGTCATAGGGTGCTGGCAGATTACGGGCCTCCCATAGCTGCTGCCAGGCCCCTAATCTGCCATGGGCCCCTATACCGCCTCCTCATGCTGCTGCCAGGTCCAGAGTCTCTCATGGGTCCCTGTACGGCCTCCCATTGCTGCTGTCTCCATCGCCACACTCTGCCATGTGCCACTTTCAGGTCTCCTCACACTGCTGGTGTGTTACATTTTTTGTCATAGGGTGCTGGCAGATTACGGGCCTCCTATAGCTGCTGCCAGGCCCCTAATCTGCCATGGGCCCCTACACCGCCTCCTCATGCTGCTGCCAGGTCCAGAGTCTCTCATGGGTCCCTGTACGGCCTCCCATTGCTGCTGTCTCCATCGCCACACTCTGCCATGTGCCACTTTCAGGTCTCCTCACACTGCTGGTGTGTTCCATTTTTTGTCATAGGGTGCTGGCAGATTACGGGCCTCCTATAGCTGCTGCCAGGCCCCTAATCTTCCATGGGCCCCTATACCGCCTCCTCATGCTGCTGCCAGGTCCAGAGTCTCTCATGGGTCCCTGTACGGCTTCCCATTGCTGCTGTCTCCATCGCCACACTCTGCCATGTGCCACTTTCAG